TACTTTTAACTCGGGACATGGATGTCTGGATTATTCTGTTTTGTTCGGCGTAGGTAGAGATCTCGGAACCAGCTGATATCCCCCAACTGCAGTCCTAAAAATTTTAAAACGTAAAATATTCAGTTGCAGATCATTCTGGAACGGACAGACCAGAGTGGATGAACCACGACGGTTGAAAACCTCAAGCAGTCGTCCGATGATATGCATAGAATATGGCAAAAGTAAAATATCCAATGAAAACTACAATCAATCGCAGCACACATTACACAGAATGTTTCGGACATTTTGACTACGACAGCATTTCTCAGACACGAGGCCGTTCTAATTACCACGAGCTCAGCTACGTCGTTGTTTCCACAGAATTAGAAGCAACTCTTGTCTCTGTTTATTTACGGCTACAAATCTTTTTAAACCTCACAGTGAGTTAGTTGTAGTAAAAGAACAGGTAACAGTAGTACTGTGACATTGACCTTGGTCAGCAAGCAATCTATTCCACGCCTCATATGGACATGGAATTGTTACCTGCTTTTATTTTTATTATACTTGGCTAACTTGGCCGACTTACAAGCTGATTCTCAAACGAAAGGGAAATGAAATAGAAAGTAAACTTACTTCTCCTCTCATTTAAATCCAACTTCTTTCTTTCGTTTTTTGATGACGATCCAGCTCAATCACTCTCTTGCCTCTAATCCGGTTTCTTAACTGACGCATTTATCTTTTCCGTGACTACACGCAGTATCGGCAACTGCTGAAACAAGAACAGTCAAGAGACTCCGTGGTTCGATGCACCATGGAGCATATACGTCAAGTCCTTGAGAAAATTACCAAATAATATGAACATTTTGATAAAATAATCCCCTTTTTATTACCTTAAAATTTATATTTTAGGAGGGATTTGTTTCTAAATGGACTGTACGTGTTTATTTGCCTCATTTACATACAATAGTAGTTCGTATTCCTATCAGAAGCAGGCAACTTCTGAGACAGATGAACATCAATCAACATTGCCTTTAATGAAAAAGCGCCTTCTGCATGCTCTTTGTAATCAGTTGCTGCAATGGAACACGCTCATCGTGTGACTGTTGGTTGAAGGTAACTATCGTACGCACATGCGCAGGGATGGCACTATTTACAAAACTTTATTTGTACAATATTTCTTTTTCCGGGTAGGTATACATCTGCCATGTTTATTCAAATATTTGGACCTATCATGGGACTATAACGCACAAATGTATTTGCATAAAACATAATATTAATAGCACAAATATTTTAAATGTTACTCAGAATATTCACTTCTTTTTAAATGAATTCCTTGACCAATGGCAACAAAATGAACAAACGTAAGAGATCTTAATTCGAGGAGGGCAATTTTTATTAGCAGAAAACAAGGCTCCAGAAGAAGGTTATATTCTCATCCATTTCCAGATTCCTGTTTTTAGCAAACAACCAGTAAATAAAATTACTTACTCATTGTTTAGTCTATGTAAATGAGGTTATGGTCAAGGAGACAGTTCAATTATTCCATGGGTGTTGTTTCTTTCCAAACGAAATAAATTATCCTTCCACATACAAGGTACTATCACAGGTGTTCCTGACAGTTACAGATTCTGCTAATTCTGGGCTGTTATGACCACAGTAATTAACGTTATTGTTAGTATCGGCCATGAATGTTCAAGATCTGACAGTAGATTAAACTTGGGTTAGTGAACATCTGGGAAACACGCGGGACATATTGCAGTTACAAAGAGAAAGTAAGTGCTTTCTCCAAAATTTCCTCTTCGCTCAAGTATTCGGCGCTTTTATGTGGTAAGAGACACAGCACCTTGACATATTTTATTCACATAAATACTGAAATACATCTATCATGTACAGAAAAGCAAGCTATTTCAAGATTTACTTAAATATTCTTAGGGCTTCAAGCAGTAATCGGGTACCCGCCTCAAATGCTATTACATGATCGAGAGCAAAATTACCAAAACAGCGGAATGATATTGGAGAAAGGCCCAGTGACGTTTTGTAAAATGTTCTGTATTACATTCATACTTTATGAAGGATAAAAGCACCTCCTTCCAGTTTTAATTATGCTAAAAAGGACGTGTAGCAGATGGTGGATGGACAGTAGCAGTTACTCTGCTCCCGAGGGTCTGAAAATTACTATATACTGTTATGCTGAAGTGGAGTTACTGCCGTCCAACTCCTTGAAGAGCAGATCTGCGTCTGGAGGCACCAGATTCGAGTCTAATACGTTTCGTGTTTTTGTTACCAGTCCTTCCAGGCAAATTCCAGGATTAGTACCTGAGGAATCAACGACTGTTTCGTTCCTCAGTCATATATAAACTTCGCCATATATAACCACAAAACCACAATCCCATTTAACCAATGGAAAATCCTAGTCTAAAAGTTTGGTCGTGTTAAAATACAACATTAATAAATACTCCCAACAAGCACACAGAAATGCAACGGTACAAAAACTACACGTAGCTACAGAAAAATATTTTATATTCGCACAATTTTAGTGGTCTGGTAGCGTATTACTAGCCAGACTGGAGTACTTTCCAGTGTATTTAACGCTAATTAGCCACTAGTTGATGCAGCGTCTTTACACAACCTACAAACGAAAAAACTTTACCAACAGAGACTCAATATTCCGCGGTCTTGTGAAGAAATAGGATAAATCAATAAGATACTGCCTTGACATTTGTAGTTGTTTATTGATGCTTCAGTTACATGAAATTAAAAACTGAGTTTGTGTAAATTATTAAAGAAATTCAGTGGGTGGTGTTAATATTTGTTACTTCTGGTGTAATATATTTTTAAATATTACTGCACATTAACGTAATATTCTTGAAAATATTAATCGTGATCAGATAATAAAAAATAAAAGAGCAGTTTTCTTTTATAACATTAATGTTAGATATTATATAAATTTGTTTATTGCAACAAAACCACAACCCAAAGAATAATTAATACATACACAATTTAATTACGCCTCTTTGGAGACAGTAATGTCGTCATATATATATATATATATATATAACAGTGCAACATCCACACGTGACAATACTTTGTTCCTAAAAAAGTACTTTCCAAAATACATGGCCTCAAAAAACGGGAATGATTCTACAAACTTGGAATGATGTGTCGATATTCAATTGTTGAGCATTTCTATTCTAGCACTCAGAATTTACCTTTGTAGGACTTAGGCAATAGCTAGATTATTACGAGGAATGTAGGCACCAAGTTCAGTCAGCTCCTTCATTTCAATGCACGCTGCGTTCACCCACCTTATTGTTGATTTGGGCATTGTCGTTTTGTGCTCTAAATGTATTCGTCGTAATATTTAAGTAGCATTTATAAATTCAGCCTCTTATCTTCATAACGGAACGCATCAGAAGTAAATAAAAAATACTACAAATAATATTAATTTAAACTGACATAACGTTCTTAAAATGTTCTAAAATATAACAGCCCAAATCAACTGCACCCTACTACCATTACGTTTCAAACACTTATAAATATATGTATATAAACTATGGGCATAATAAATCTATACGTCAACATGGCCTATTCTATACCTTGTCTAACATACGACAACATGTTATTGCCAAGTAAAAAAAAAAAATTCTAGCAATAATAATTACTTTAAATATTGCAGAAGTCTGCGTAAATGTGCGTTAAGTCGTTAAATAATTATTTTCCTACGTAGGTCATAATACAACTTGCACGGAATTCTGTTTTGTGCATCTTACGATGTCAGAAGAAAGAAAATTGCTTCGCAATATAATTAAGAAGCGGATGGATATAACAATGGACGTGATGTAACAATGCTTTGAGTACAAAATATGTCTAGCTAAACTAACTATACAGTCATTAAATAAATAAATTATTAGATAAATGCCTGGAAGAGAGAGAGAGAGAGAGAGGAGCACGTGTTGCCATCGCTACAAATGGCATGCAGAAAACAAAGTATATGTACATAAACAGAAAGCGTAAAGCTAGTCAGATCTACTGCTTGGCTGTCAACTGTCGCCATGTGTGGTCAACTCCGCTGTGGTGGACGCCACGGGTCTGTAGAATACGGGAGCAGGAATTCTGCTCACAGCACCTTCGACCTTGGAGTCCTTCCTCGGACTTGGGCTCACCTTCCTGATTCTTCCCAGAGACCCATTCCCGTGCACCCAGGCTGATGTGAAGTCTAGTTCATCCTCAGGCAATGCTTGTTCTTCATGACGTTTCTCTTCTACTAATTTCTCATCCACAATGTCAGCATAATGTTGGATGATCTCCTTCATCTTGTTTAGAACTGTGACGTCATTGTCTAAATCTTTCACCTGAAGGATCTGCTCTAGCAGCGGGGAAATCTGTTTTGTGGGAGAGCCCTTACCTGAAGAATCTGCTCTAGCAGTGGGGAAATCTGTTTTGTGGGAGAGCCCTGCAGAGAGGCAGGGAGAGAGCCCTTATTTCTGCGTAGGGCAGTCGGCGTAGAGTTGGCCGATCCCAGACTCCTGCGTTGCATCGTGTTCCTCTCAAATCCAGCACCATTCAGTGAAGGTCGTGACTTGGCCTTCCCCTGTCGTCCACTCCACGTATTGTTTTGTTGGGCAGTTCTCGATGTCATGCCTCTGGGATCCGACCTAACACTTCGATACACCCCTGCTCGTCTGGTGGGTGAGCCGGTGGAAAACAGACCGGGGTCACCACCAGATGACTTGCTACGAGTCATCTTAGAGACATTTGGGGCTGCGTCAGAACACTGACTACGTTGCTGAACGTCGCTAGGCGTTCTTTTGTGTCTGCTGGAGGACGGGGCGACGTCATCACATGAGCTACACTCTGACGGAGGATGGGGTGTTGAGATTGTTGGAATGAGACGCTCTGCAAATTGAACAGGAAACATGTCACGGATGAGAGAGATGTGGATATCAACATATATGAGACCTGAGCATAAGTAGAAGTTGCGTGATGTTTGGCATTTGTCAGTACGGCTTGTTCATCTACTTCAATCAGTATGATCAAAATATGGCTGCATTTAACAATGAAAATCCAAAATCATGTATAAGGTGTGAGTGTACACAGTACTTTGCCCAGTTTAATATTTTTTTTTTAAATCTGCGTGCATTAAACATTACATTCAATTGCCATGTAACTATTAAAATATTGTTTTCCTAATTATCTCTGCATCAAGTCCTCAGATTTGTAATTGGAGTTCTGCAAATGAGGTAAAGTTTTTGGACGATCATGAAACATTTATAGGACTCACACATTAAATGATTCAGCACACTCCAGTATTTTCATTTACTCGATAAATCTTTCGGGAGACGTTGAAGATTACCTTCGAAGACAGAACAGTGAGTGTGTTCTGAAGATACTGAGGTACTGTGAGGACGAACAGTCCTTGCAGAACGCGCCGTATTCAGAAGATGAGGGCAGGCCCACTCATATATCACCAGACGACAAGTCGAACGACAAACTACCAGTATCATGCATCAGCTTTCAAAACACACCAACAATCTTGTTTGGTAAACGGTTGTCAAATAAGCTACGAACCTGCTCACAAAATTTTAAGGGTCGCAGGTACCAAAACGCGTTAATTCACAATGAAATAATTTAGTGTTCAACAAGTCAGAGAACGACAACAGCAGTTCGTGTACGTACGTGAATGTTGCGCGTCGTCTGCCTCCACCTCCTCTGGCTTGCCGAGATCGTCGTGGCCCGTTTTAACTGCTGTTCCATCCACAGCAGAGCTAGCCACAATTCCCAGACTGCGGTATCCCTCATCGGACACCTCAGAACCGGAATCATTCAGAGCTTGCTGGTCGGACGGTGCCGTGCCTTCGTTGCTGTTATTGTTGTTGTTGCTGTCAGCAGACGAGATGCAGGTACTCTTGTTGCGAGACGGAGAGCGTGGTGCTGGGGACCGACTTCTGTTTCTGCTAGTACGACCGGAAGTGTTCAGTCCCGTGTTGCTGCCGCCGTAATTCGACGGTGCCTTGGTCACACTCAGCCTAGGAGTTGGGGACCGACTTCTGGTGGGAGTTATGCTACGCCGACCGCTGTTTACATTTAGGGAATCCAAACCTGTGGAGCTCACATCATAGTTGGAGCGCGGTGTCTGAAGACAAACGCTGGGGGAGCGACTTCTATTGCGGGTGGACACCGGAAGCCCTCCCCCACTGCTCACACTTGAGGCTGAGGACCGTCTGGTGCGAGGAGGAGACCTGTAAAGATACGTCACCTGACGCCTCATCTAGACACCCAGTGATGCAGCTGTTTCTATAAGCCAGTTACAAAGCGGAACTGAACATTCTCGATTCTATACATCAAGCAAGAACCGAACTAAGACGACGAATATTAATATGCACTTTCAGAAATGAGGAAATAAGTTTTCAACACTCCTCTTTGTAGAATTCACGAAAATTCAGGAACTAATCCAGTGCAAGTCATCTAATTAGTCTGAAGAACGAGAATCTATATAAATAAGCGAGCCTGTTAACGGAAAGACGAAGTGGGTCTGTGTCCATTAATAACTGATTTCCGCGAAAAATCTTATAAGAAATGTTAATTTTAATTTGAAGGCCATCGTAACACCAACAATGTGTTAAACATTCCTCGTTCATAGCAGGGGCCCTTGAAATCAATACTTAAGAGCTAGACTGGACATATGTCACTTTCATTCATTATCCAAATAGAGTAACTCAACGGGTGACTGCAATATAAATATATAACGTATCATTTGTTACGCATGAGAGAAGAATATGTTTCCTTCAGCCCTGATTATGGCATTCAATCGAAACAAATTATGAAATGAGCTATTACATTTCGGTATTCACCTACCTCTCATACAGAACCTGGGCTGTGCTCAGCTCCAGAGGACCATTAGACTTAAGAATGAGCTTCGTGGACAGTGGCGATCTATGGGCTGCAACACACATAACATGTCACTGTAATATTAGCGTTGTCGTCAGAAAATCACTTAAAATTAGTGTCAAGAGTTCGTTCTCACGCACCTGTCTTGCAGCGACAGGGGTCATGCTTGTCCAAGTAGTGTGACAAAGTGTCCCAACCGCCTCCAACTCTCACCATCACGTGATTCCTAAGAACCTGTGAAAAAAAATATACACACACTCTACACGCATATCGATACATATTTCCTCGTAATGTGCCGTTTGGTATATTCGTGTATTAGCCATATCGAACAAAAACTTCCTGCATGTTGCGCCGCATTATGGAGGCAGCAAGTACCTTTAAAACGTCGGTGAACTTCTACCAGACTACACGGCGCAACGTGCCAGAAGACAGCCATCTTTATACCTGCCACTGTGAGGACCTGAAATTTCACCAACTTAGATCACGATTACAATTTTCGGTCTATTCCGAAAGTGAACTTGAAATTATGAAGCAATGAAATGAACAGAGATAAAAATTCGACGCAACTTAGGCCTCCTTTAATAAGTCATAACACACCAATCTTGACGACGTATTCTTGCAAATGGTTATTCGAATATTCCATTCCGACACGAAATAGCTTCGGGAAGGGTCATCACATAAACATGTGCACTTACCCGCACGAAGATGAGCACTTTTGTGTCCCCGATACGGTACTTGCCTTCGGAGACACGGATCATGGGGAACTGGACGGGACAAGTGCATCTCTCCACGAGGTCCCTCACCTGGAACACAGAGTAACCACACAAACGTCCTTTTCATTTTCTTAGAATTCCGAAAATCTACAGTACATTTAGCGTAATGTGCTCTTCACACAGAACCTACACGGGCAAATATTTAAAACGTGAGTCCATTCTGGGCTGAAATAACATTCATTAACGCGAAAGAATACCGCTACAAATTCTGGGAGAAATGGTACAGTTCTTAATTCTTTAAATACGCACCAATCAACCAAAAAGCAAACTAAAGGCAGAGTCTTCTGTACGCGTTTTTCATTGTCACTTGTTAAAAAAAATCACAGCTGGACGCTCATCTAAACAATATTTAAGATTCAAGTTCGAACCTCAAAGAAAACAATGCATTTCCATTACAAGGATCAACTGGTTAATGCTGTTTGAGAAATTAATCCTTCATAGGAAACCCGTAAATACAGAATGCAGAGTTACTGACTGTTGAAACAGGTGGTATATATAGTAACCACTGGGCTTAAATTCAACACTAAAGCATGCCAACACTAACAACTCGGAGTTCCTCAACATTTCAGCGTTGTAAACCCTCAGACCACGCTTTGTGCATTGTTTATTACATTTCTTGTTTGCAAGAAAGAACCTAAGATGGTTGGGACGCAGGCCTACACGAAATCAATTCTCGATGCAAATTGAAATCTCGGAGAAAGCGAGCTCTTGATCCAGACACTGCGCCGAACCCCGGAAAAAAAGAAAGAAAAAGGCCCGATCGAAGTGTTGAAGTGTCTTTTCCCAGTCACTTTGCAGACTGCCCACCAAGTAGCAACCAGTTCTGCTTTCCATTCATAATGCCAACACTTCCTTTAAATACACGTGGGCCTAACTAATGCAGTTAATACAGAATTGTTAAACAAACCATAAGCAATACAAAGGACTTACAATAAGTATTCATGACATTTCTGGGGTCTCAGTAAGAATTATATTTTAATGTTTCGTAAGGGTTCATACATTTGCAAACAGTAACGTTTTGAAATATAACGTTATTCAGTTTGTACTATATTCTTTTACAAATTGTTTCCCCATCGTAGATGGCGGGATAATATTAAAAAGGATCTTAAGGAAACACGTTGTGGGAGGGGACTGAGTTCATCTCTCCAGGAAACAGAGGGACCACGGCAGGGAAATGAACCTTGGGTTCTATAGAAGTCGGGGAATTCCCTGGGTAGCTGAGAAACTATCAATTTCTCGTGAAGGATACAGCTCCACGGAGTTAGTTTGTTAGTAGGCCTCTGTCAATCATTTTCCTAGCGAGTCTCATCGAGACACTTCCTGTAATTCAACATTGTCACAGAAGTGGTTTAAACTTTACCACTGTTGTTTCAGAAGCACACTCTGCATTGTGCAGTCATTTATTTGTAATTAAGGAATAGTCGCAATTGTGGTCATTCCACGGTCAAAGTGCCATTAAACACTCGCTTCTTTGTCGGCTGTCTTCGAATACAGTCCAATACGTTGTAACTTAGACGATGGACCGTATGTCCTTCGTCCATGCTGAAGACACTGGTAATCTGATATGCAGATATGTATAGACAAGTATTCTTTTCAGAATATGTCTGTTGTTTCAAATAATGTTCATAAGACCATCTTATCACTCTGAAGAACTTTAGGTTCTCACAGTGGCGAGTATGACTATGGCTGTCTTCTGGGTCGTAGGGCCATGTCGGTAAACTTCTACCAGACTACATGGTATATAAAACCCAGAAGACAGCCATGATATTTTCACTCTTTCAGAATCTGATATTAAGTTTCGCCTTCACACAAAACAACGGGTAGAGTTATCTTTATGGTTTCAAATTTTAATTACCGTCTAGACCGATGTAAAAGAGGAAATTCTGATTCATATACAAGGACACATGTGATAACATCAAATGTAATTTCGACAGTACCATAATAATTATTTCCTCTTTGCATCGTTATTTCCTGCACACCGACGTCTACATCTGTTCACACAATGTACAGTGTGTACTTAATTGAGGACATGCCTAGTCAGTAAGACAGAGGATAGTAGGACACGCCTCACGAACTGCGACCAAGCACTGGCAAGATACGTGCCACTGCGAGTTATCACTGAACTGGTACGTATAAGCCTAAATCACGAAGCTGCACACATTGTGAGATGAACTGCCTGTGGAGTTAATTATTTTTACAGTCAGTAAATTAAGAGACGGCCTCAAGTCTATATTTGTATTATTCGTGTCATTTTGCATTATCAAATACAGCGAAATCAACATTACAACTTGCTATTTTCTATGAACTTCGAACATGTTTATCCAAAGACAAATTTTCCACTTCATCCAAACACAACACCTATCCGACAAAGAACACGATCAAGTGCCACGCTTCTGGCACAAATATGGTTAAACCTTGACTACGCCTGGTGCCATATTTGGATTAATTTACAACGCACGTTACAAGTCACTAGCGCCAACAGGTACAAGGAAATGAAGTCTTATCACCATCGTAATCCTTCGGCAGTCGTGAGAAGCAACGGTCATGATGAGAAATGAAAGTTTTACGTTGCCATGACAATGATGTGACCCACATTATTATAGAGAAAGGTTATCTGCGCGCGCGAAATATGTCAGCATGTTGTCAGGTACGAATGAAGTTTCATGCAAAACCGATACACATACAGCGCTCACTAAACCCACCAACGTAACTCCAGAATCCTTAGTCGTTCAGCTGGTAAAACTCCTCGTCTTTTATTGAACTCGAAGGTTCATTACTACCGTCAGGTTCACAAACGCCCGCTACTGCGTCCTCTCCTGGGCTCAGCCACTTACGTACCACAATATTTTCAGTAATCGGTATGTGTAATTGCAAGCAGCTGTTCAGTTCGTTTAATCAAGTGTTCGTTCTCTAGTTATCTAGGATTGTAAAGGAAAGACATAAATCCAACGTCAGTCTTGAGTTACTTACAAATTACTTACGCGACTTCCATATAAAAGTTTATAGCTAATCGGGTTCATACTAAACTGACGCATATTTTTGCGTTTAAAAGCCACACGTTTCGCAAACTAGTTGTATTTCCGTCATCAGGCGAGCAACGTACTCGATTTATATACGAGGCGCGTCCACAAAGTAAGTTTCCCACTCGTCCCACAGCTAGCAAACCTTATATTGCGCGAAGCGACTGTGCGTACGTGATAGAGCAATGACGCTCACACACTTAGTCCTCGACGTTCACTGTTTATACATTTCGACTAACCACTCGTTATCTGGGGGACTGGAATTAGACCTTCCTATGGAACTCACTCGATGACGGAAGCAGAGTCAGCTTCCGAAACGATGTGTGGTTTTTAACACACAAGAAGGAAAATATCGAGGAATAAACATCACTTTAATGGCACACCTTCATTCCCAAGGTAATGCAAGTCCTGAGGATGCCTCGACAGACCCTTACCTACTTATTAATCTTATTAATAAAACAAACGAATTGCAATCTAATACAGGCCTAGAAACTTTCTACGATTTCCACCGAAAAATGTGAACGCACGTACGTTTTAAACATTGATATGTCTGTTGAAGAATTCTAAAGTCCTGTAAGAAACAAGATAAAGCTATAATATAAGTGTTCAAGACTTATTTTCCGTCAATTTACCGGCGGATAATTTTCTAGCTGAATATAACGTGTTGCTTTCTCGGTTGTAATTAATTAATTTGCAGACATGGAATTCAAGTTTTAAATGTGTTTCAAAATTATGAATGGTTATTTGAAAGACTAAGAACCCGGTCATGTTACCGTGTCTGCCTTTAGTGTGATGAGTTTTATTCACAGTTTACCAACGACAAAGGTTGCAATATGAAAGCGGGTAGCACAAAGAAGACAGACAAAGGATTAACGAATGACCTACTTGCTTGCTTATCACATAAACCTACTCAGCTATATTCCCGCGCTGTAGACCCACATGCAGAAACCGCTCAGCGTTTGTAATCTACTTATGAAATGTAGGCTAATGCTATCACACGAGTGTCGTGTGCCTCTGACAACTTCAGAACAAATTGTTCTGTTTTAACAAAATTCGGTATGAGGGTCACTTAACTGGGAGTTATTTCCTCAGAAATCTTTTACAACTATGACACTGTGCATCAGAGTTATTTCCTCAGTATCTTTTACAACTATGACACTGTGCATCGAAATAATATTTGTGCGAAATTCTGAAATGTGAGAAAAATCAGTTGTGTGCCATGAAGGATTAAGAATTTGGCCGTGACGATTTCTGAAATATGCGTCCTCCAAAGTGCATTTTTTCTACATTTGAAAATCATAATATGGCTATGGCGCAGCAGGCTATGTATTTACCTGGCAAATTTGATGGCGAAATGTTGTCTGAATTTTTATGTAAATATTCGTTCTCTCAGAACTTTAAACATAGTTTTATTTACCACGTTTATTAGTTGCGATATATTTTTTTTAAATCCTGTCTACATTGATGAATTAATATCTAGACTTGTAAATTTGAACCAGCAGACGAAAGTACGACTGACAGAGCATTTCTTCACAAAATTTCGTCTTCAATAAAAATGTTTCACACATTACATAATTAATCCTATGATGTTAAAAGTCGTAATTATTCCAATACTAAGCGACCACACGTTCACAGACAAGAAATTGATGTAGTTTCACGTTTCCGAATGACATGAATTCGAAACAGATGTTTTTGATCCTTGAATTCCGCATTTATGCGTCCATCGTACGTCTGCGAAAATGGGGGTCCTGGTACAAAGGAACAGCATTTTTGTTTGTTCAAAGGCTTCTAATGCGTCACTTGACGATCGTGTATTACACACTTTGGACCTTCCTCTTGACAAAAGGCATTACCGACGTGTAGCCTGCCGGATAATATTTATGTTAAACAAATGCTCCCCATATTGTACACCGTGGAAATTACACACAGAAGGAAACGTAAAATTTATTTTAGTTTGATGTTTCAATTAACACCTCTGAAAGGAAATGGGCAATAATAAAAACCACCCTC